GTTGCAGACTGGGCCACGTTACGCTGTCATCGCATTACAGCCGAAAACTGCCCAATAAGCTCCGGGACAGTTGCATTCTTTCCAGTTCTCCTTAATTTTGTGGATCATTAAATACCTTTCGTAAAAATACATCACATTCTGAGTTCGTCCTTTTCGAATCACGGCTCGGAAATCACCTAAACTATCAGTTGTCCTCGTGGGATTTTTTTTTTTCATTTCCTCTACAAAATCATCAGTGTACATAGAAAGTAATATATTCCACCAAATAAAACTCGTCTTTCATAACGAGCTTCACGTTTCTTTCAAAAATAAATTTTCCATCATCAGTTGACGTAGTCAAGAAAAACACCACACGAATCAACCCTGTAACACATTCTTTTATTATATAATCTATTCAGAGGTGCCATCTGAAAAGCCATCCACTTATGGCACACACATACGAGGGTAAGTCAGAAATTATGCGCACATTCTCCATAACACATATTTAGGTTTGTCACACTGCCTACTACGCATGCATTGTTAGAGTTGGTACTACTGTGGTCACGTGATCGAAGTTTTACCTTGATCGCATCATTTTCCTTGATGCTGTGACAGTGTAAACATGGCCGGTCTGCTAGCAGTGTGCACCAATGATTAACAAAGAACAGTGATCCGATTTCTCTGATTGGAAGGTGCGTCAGGGGCTGAAATTCATATGTGGGTTCATCACTATGAGCCAGAATCCAAATGCCAGAGTATGGCGTGAAAACACCCGGGATCGCAAACGAAGATGAAATTCAAGACTCAATCTTTCGTGGGAAAGGTGATGCTAACCGTTTTTTGGGACTCAAAAAAGGCCTATACTGGAAGACTACCTGGAAAAAGGGTGTACGATCAACAGTGCAAGATACAGTGATTTGCTGGCCAACAATCTGAAGCCAGCAATTCGTACCAAACGCCGAGACCTATTGTCGAAGAAAGTGTTGCTGTTGCATGACCATGACCACTCACACAAGGACGGCCAGACCGTTGAAACCATTAGCCATTTGTGTTTCGAGGTGCTGGAACACCTTGCCTACAGCCCAGATCTCGCCCTTTCCGACTGTCATCTCTTTGGACCTCTCAAAGATGTTTTACGAGGTTTTTGATTTTCTACGGACAAAGAAGTGGGGGAAGCGGTGCATAAACGGTTGCGCGGCCAACCGAAACCCTTCTTCGTGGAGGGAATACGCAAGCTTTTGGACCGCTGGACCAAGTGCATAGAAAATGGAGGAGACTATGTAGAAAAATGACGTATTTGTTCAACCCCTTCTTCTGTATATATGGATTGGAAAAACAAGAGTGCAGATAATTTTTGACTTACCTACGTATATGCTTGTGCCTTTATAATCAGAATGTTATTAACATGTTTCGTATAGCCCTACTTCGAACTGTTAGACCAAGTAGCTTATAATTATGAAGCAGAATGAATCTGTCCATGTTGTACTCTATTATAGCTCTCTCGGGCTCATTGAAATCTGTCTTATAATCAGTAGTATCACAGTTTTTTTGTATTGCTAGTGGGGTGGGACTAAGTCCCTTGTACTGCGGCCACTTCTGGCCTATTGTACCAGCCCCAGATGATAGGTGAGGGTGATTGTGGAGCAATTTGTGGAATGAAGATTGGCAGGGGCAACCGAAGTACTCGGAGAAATCCCGCCCAAGCGCCGCTTTGTCCACCATAAATCCCACTTGACCAGGCCCGGGATCGAACCCGGGCCGCCGCGGTGGGAAGCCAGCGACTAACCGCTTGAGCTATGGCGCGGCCCAGTATGAATGTTAGTTCGGACAAACTGGTGAAGTGTAATATATACTAGCGCCTTAAAGGCGCGACAGAATTATTTGTCATAAATCTTAAAAAAATTATATTATTTTAATTAAGAATTATTTTAAATTAATAGCAAATATGAACGTGGCGACTTCCCTAACTATTTTCATATCTATTCTTCTGTGAAGTTGCTAACGGAGCTGCCGGTAGCTATGCTGCCTAGTGTCGAGTTGTAGGCTGAGTGATGAACCGGAAGTAGAGGGGTCTGGCCTAATCAAAGTGCTATTCCGGTATTTCCCTGGAAGGTCTAAAGAAAACCATGAAATCCCTCATTCAGGATAGCCGGTGTCCCGATGGGTATTCGAACCGAGCACCTGCCGAATAAGAATTTGGAACGGTGCCGCCATGTCAACCTGTTCCGTGTTTTGAAAACTTTATAGTGACTGTCACTCATGGAGCTGAGCCCTTCTTGAGGATCCGCCAATTGTGAAGTTACTGAAGAACTTCCCAAAATTTTATGAACCCGAAGGTTCATTACCGTGTTCACCTCGCCAAAATGATGAACAACTTATGCATTATTTAATACCATGAGAGACGCTCCATCGGCGAGATACCATCCCGGGACCGTCTAGTTGTAATTCCGCTATTGTCCTCCTTAGGCTAAGGGTGCCGCTATTGTCCCTAACGTCACCTGTTTACTCCCTGTATCATAAACCCATGAACTGACCGTGTGCGAGACCGGCCAGGAGGGGTCTTGGGTTCCTTGAAGACCTACAGAAATGTATGGGCTTCTTTAAAATGTAGGTCAGATGACGGCCTCGACCCTTGGCTTTCTCTTCTCATTTTCTTGTTTTTCTGATGCCAACTGGGGATTTGAAATGATAGGGCAGTCGGTTATAGGGGGTGGAGGAGGAGAGTAGTTGAAAGGTAGACAGAGAAGAGAGGTGTTTAACAGTAGGGTAGCGAGTAGGGCGGACGGAGCGGCTAGCTTGAAGGACAATGCAAATATTTACCATTGAATGAAATTTTAAATTAAAAGTACAATATTCACTGTTCTGGAGATCCCGGATTTATTAACCCCGAAGTGGGTTCCACTTCAATCTCCGAAGCACCCGTATCCTGAGAAAAAGAACCCAAGCTCGAGCAAGGTCGTGGCAGCTGTAAGTCGGAGGGCGGCTACATCACAAGAGTCCTCCACTGCCCCTATCCTGATCCAGATCAATCCAGTCAATTCCAATCCATTCCATCCTGTCTCTCTGAGATCCATTTTAATATTGTTCACCCACCTACTCCTTGGTCTTCCTAGTGGTCTCTTTCCTTCTGGTTTTCCTGCCAATATCCTATATGCATTCATCTTCTCCCCCATTCGTGCTGCATGCCCTGCCTACCTCATCCTCCTTGACTTGATCATTCTAATTGTACTTGGAAAAGAGTACAAGTTATGAAACTATAGACTAACTGAGGATTACGTAATTGTAGCGTAACATCAGGATGTGTATGTTGTTACGTCACAAGGATATCCTTAAGGACGAGTTTCTTTCGAACTTGTGATGTAATATAATCCTTCGGAATTCTGAATACACTATATCAACAATCAATATATCTATTACTTGCTTTACAGTGTTGTCGTTGTCGTTGTTGCTTTTAGTGTATGCAAAATGCACGTAGACTACAAGCTAATAAAGATAACATCTCTCTTCAAACGCCAGCCTCAAGAAGTGATAATAAAACCTGCATCTACAATGTACGTACTTGTTTCGTGACTAAACTTATGTTATGCCGCAGTTTAGCCTTCTCTGGAAGGGCCAGTCATCTGATAGATTCAGATCTGGTTCTCCGGTCTGGGCTCTGGGAAAGAGACAGACCTCCTACACACGTAAAAGAGATTTATTTGTCAGATTAGTCTTACTGTATGATACACGTACACAGGCTTTCATTCTCCTAATGCTGTTTTGTATGAAGCTTAACGACGCAGTAGAGCCTATACTTGCAAGTCGTTCAGATGTCCGTTTTGCATGAACCGGTTTCTTCATGATGATGCTCACGAAATGGCACATCGATAAAGGAGCACGACTTATCCATATGAAAACCATATACCCAACAGATGCAGCCATTCCATCGAGCACGGCTATATTACGGCCAGGGAAAAGGTTCCCTCGGATGGTAGGGATGACAGCATTCGACGATCCCCCATTCTATCCGATGTTGTATTGCCTTCCACCCCTTTGGCCTAAGACTGACAGCCCGAAGCGAATGTCAGCATGTTGTCATCACTGTCGATATTCCTGTGAGCAGAAGGACTAGACTACTGGAGGGGAATATAGGCAAATACACGTATACTGGGATGGCGAAAGGCAGCAGCTCGACGAAGTTGTGGAGTGGGGTTACCATGACCTCAGCATGGCTAGTGTGATCCGTGTAGACTCTAGAGTCTCGCCAGGATTTCATGATCCCTAGTAACAACTCTGTCCGTCTCGAAGTAGCATTGGCTGCAATCACGTGTTGGCCAGGCGCTTTGCTAGTTATATGTTTAACCTGCAAGCTATTTCTAGTACGCTGTTCTAGGCGCTGATTAGTCTGCTTGAGCGTGCGACCTCATATTGAAGCCTGACACTCAAATAAAATTGTGACAAACGTGCTTTATTATTATTCACAAGTCGAAGCTTATCGTCTCATACTCAAGCAGAACTAGTGACCATCAAATCCCGTTGGAACTGTAATCAAGTGAATATTCCTTCTGAGAATGACTATCAGTAAGGGATTTGATTGTATGTATTCGAAAGGGAATGTTGTCTCAGTGCCTAAGCAATGAAAGCGTAAATGTGATGAAACTACATGCATTCTTAATCTCACCCACCACATTCATTCCTGGGCAACAGTGTCAAGGGCCAATCGGATAGGAGCCTTGGGTGGTCAACAGTGCGAGTTTGGACAAAGATATAGAGCACATTGTGTCTGTGACGAAAATTGCTCCCCAGCCGTTCACGCCGTTGCCTACTGCTCTATTGAGGTTTTTATTCATAATTATTTTTTTCCTATTTATAAAAGCAGTTTGGATAGAAACCACAAGCTGTGAATGTTTCAGTACTCACCTGTCGATGCCTATGGCTGTGAGAGTGTAGACCGACACTACAACCGATATATGCTGCATTACTGTCACCACAGAGCACATTATCTGCTGGAAGCCACAAGCTGTGAATGTTTCAGTACTCACCTGTCGATGCCTATGGCTGTGAGAGTGTAGACCGACACTACAACCGATATATGCTGCATTGCTATGACCACAGAGCAGAATAGCGGGTGGAAGATCCAGCGACCCAGCATGAACCTGTCGCATACAATGACTGCGTTCAGTAGGAGCAAACGAAGAACGTGTGTTAGTCAACATGCATACATAGTGATCAAGACAGTGCCTGTCAGAGCCGTCGGAGCCGAGATGTTGCTCCCTCCTTCGCGAAGGTAACGTTTCGAATGCCTTCAGTTTTATGAAGTTTGAATTGAAACAACTCACTTCAATGTAATTCTCTTTCGAATTAAATTAATTTTCCCAAGCGAAGTATCTGGAGTTGAAACATTTCAACTACCAACATTCTGGTTGGGGTTTTTTATGTTTTGTGTGTGTATGCGTTTATTCTGTGTTTGTGTTGTCCTGTGTTTAGGTAGAGGTCCTGCAACGAGCTGATCACTCATCCAAGGAGCCCTACCACCTGTGAAATAATCAAAATGAAAGAAAAACCTCAACACCGTAAATTTATAAGAGGAACGTATTAGGTAAGTACGTAAGAGATATCCTGAACTATTACACTTCTTACCACGTGAGTTCTAGAGTAAAAATTTTAATAGAAAGTTATAAGGGTTTGCAATTGCATGTTTTGGTGACAACTAGCCACCACAAGAAGGCTTAACAAATGTTGTAAAAATATTTTACGTTTGTGTTTGAGCATAAATTGTCTTAAGGCAATTTCTGCTATCACTATAAATCTCGACTAAAATATGAGTATTTTTGCAGCCAAAATAAATTATGTAATATTAAAAGTAATTATTGAAAATTATTTAAAATAAATTGAAGGTTCTTATTGCGTAAGTAGGGGGACAATGACGGCGTCCATTTTCTACTGTTAGTTAACATAGAAAACCTTTTATATTGTTGTATTGGTGGCCTCATGTCCATCTGCAAACATATGTGGTAATTTAGAGTGTTTTTACTCCTGTATCTTCTCTTTACATGAAACTTTAGTGATCAACTGTAATTACTCATTCGTGTGGTTTTTTATATTCTCCTATTAAACTTGTTTATTTGATATACTTTACGACTCAGTCATGTATTCATACTGGTGGTTAAAGAATCTGGGTCCCACAGTAAGGATTTTATTACGACGGACTTTGCAAGAAAAGTGGCCTTCCCGTCAAGTCATGACGAACCATAACCTATATAGTGATTCTAAATTATTGTCGGGGTTTCCGTGGCCTATAAACGTAAACCCCTACAATAATTTAGAACCAATCTGTTTATGTAAGTTTTACGGTTGCTTTGTCTCGAAAACCCACTCTATATTGTGATAAGTTGTTGCGATCTGTCACGCTTAACAATTGGTTTTTAAGATAAAGCTGTATGCGAACATTTGCACAGTCAGAGTCAGTAGCCTATCCGTTTGGCCGTGAACCAATCAGTGGAAACTGAACATGTGATACATTTCATTTAATTACGCGTGACATTTTGACTAAACAAAAACGTGGGGGTGCATATGGCAGAAATTCATTAAATTACAATAGATGAATTAGGCGTTGTATCCATTACTGACAATTACAGAAACATGCATATTAGCAGCTTGTTTAACTATCAACGTAGAACATGCCACTGACTGTTTAGCCGTTATATTTTGTAGGGCTTTCCTCTATGCATCGGTAGTTCCTCAGCTGTTTTAACGAATACGCCTATATTTGGTGCGCAACCCTGAAATATTATACAGCTTTCATATTTAGTGTTAATGAGCATTGGATGAAAAACATATTTTTTGGCTTCTTCGCTGTTTCAGGAGTTCCTACACCGCCTGTAAACCATATAGTCATAGATACGTACATACAGCACTGTTCAGTCTTCTTTTATATTTTAATCAGGCATCTGAAGCTCATAGTTCGAACTCGAACTAGACTTGTGGATTCAATGATTTATGTCAAATACAGAATGTCCCAGAATTATTTTATCATTTTTTTGTAATTTCACTCTTCTTTATAGTACGTTGGCAGCAGAAAACTGGAATAGCTTATATAAATGGTACTATTGTACATAAATAGAGTCAAGCTGTTGTTACTTCAGATTTTAAAAGTATTCGTCATTTGCTCCTTGACACGACCTACATTCGCATTGCGGTAACATTATTCTTGCACATTCTGTATTGCTGCAGTCGGATGGCTGTTTATGAACAAGCTGGCGGTCGATGGCAAAATAAAATCAAACATTGTGCTTTCAGTCTTTGTGTCCTATCGATCCGTGACTTTTCCTGCAGGAAATATTGTTCAAATTTCAACAGGCCGTCGAGGCTCCGACAGTTTCTAGAAAAGCAGCACGTAGATGGCGGTAAGGTTGTCAGCCTTACGCGCCGGCCGCCATTTACACCGAGGAAGATTCCTGGTACTCATTTCTGTTAGAGGCTGGGTCGACCCCAGGACCATAGTCCGGCTGGAAGGATTAGGTCAACTGAAAAATCCATTGACCACATCGGGAATCGAACCCGCGACCTTCCGGTTTGTAGCATAGTGCCAACCAATAAAATAAAGAACTGGATATTAGACATATGGATAAAGGGAATTTTATTTAAGTGCTTAAAGGAACTATTACTTTTTCTTTATCCCTTTTGCAGATCTCGCTCAAAGCCAGTGTAAGGCACTGCACGTACACAAATATTACCAAGCGCCCGCCGAGCAGGCTAGCCTAGACTTGAATTCGGTTCGAAGTTGTGCCCGAACACCTGTTATACTCATAGAGGTTTGTCGTGGTATTCCTTAGTCCGTTCAGGCAAATTCCACAATAGTATCTCGGTTTTGGCCACTACTGCCTCCTTTGAAATCCTTTCCAATTCATCATCCGGTACTATACAGTTTCAGTTCTGATAATGTCATTAAACAGTCCACGAAAGAATAAAAATTGAATGCGTCACTCGCTTAAGTTTGTTTACAGCCATTTCATGGAAGTGACTAAATGAATGTTGGCGTTCATCTACCCGAGTACTAGCTTGGAAAATATTATGGGTAAAAATTTTATTATATGGCTTACACAATATTTGCATATAACTAATTGATTCTTGATAAAATCGCCAATATGAGAGCAAACCGTATTTAGTTCACAGCATCGCCCTTCCAGCTAGCTATTTTGCAATTTAAAACACGTTGTGTGTGTTTATTGAGCAGATAGACGCCGCATATAAACGGATTTCGTCTCCCTGACGCCACTCCAAGGAGTGGCCTTTGCCATTTGCTTGCTTCGCTCCTTGGGTTTATTTTATGAACAGCGGGAATAAAATTCGAAAAGTAGACTATTATTTGATGACCTAAAATATATAGTAAAAAGTAAAGGTATCCCTGTACCAGGCCGTGAAGGCCCATAGGGTTGTGAGATGTTGAGGGTCCCACATTATCTAGACAATCGGCTCAAAGATGGCGGTAAGGTTGTCAGCCTTACGCGCCGGCCGCTCTTTACTCCCCAGGAGAATTATTTCATTAATTCCTGGTACTCATTTCTGTTAGAGGCTGAGTCGACCCCAGGGCCTAGTGCGGCTGGAAGGATTAGGTCAACTGATAAAATACGATACAATGACCTCATCCGGGCTTGAACCCGCGACCTTCCGGCTTGTAGCATAGTCCCTCAACCAACTAAGCTACCGCGTGCTCCTACTAAAATATAACATATAATATTGTGACATGTTGACCCCTACCTCCCCAGCTGCACGTAGCGGTAATGTAGCGCTCGCGTAATAGGCGAGTAATCACCCCGCAACTCTCCCCGCGGTGACGTCACGAGCGGAGCCGAAGTGAGCCGAGCGGAGCCGACGTTAGCCGAGTCCCCGCAACCTTGAAGCTATGCAAAGCGAGTCAACAGCGGTGACGTCACCGAGGGATATCGCGGTTGCTAGGCAGCAGTCAACAAGTGCGGACAGCGTGGGTAGCAACACGGCACCAGACGACAATGGTCCGGACCGAGGCTACATAAGGAGCAGCGAAGGCTATTCACAGTCAGTCCTGGAGCTACCGCCGAGCGAGTCCTCGAGCTACCTCCGAGTTAGTTCCGAGTTAGCCAGCAACCAGTCAGTTGTATTGTGGCATTTGCAGTGTAGTATTTGTGATACTGCAGATAGCAGTAATTGTGAATCTGTAATTTGGGTGATTGTAAGTGCGAATGTGAAATAAAATTCGCTACATAAAAATACGGCGTGAAGTTAGTTGTCGCGATATACGCCCGATACTGGACAATATGTTCAGTTGCCTGTGGTTCGGTATGGGTGTGAAACTTGGTATCTGACATTAAAGGAGGAACATAGACTGAGGGTGTTTGAGAACAGTGTGTTGAGGAGAATATCTGGACCGAAGAGGGATGAAGTGACAGGTGGTTGGAGGTTGGCATGTAGCACACACAAATGGGAGACACGAGAAATGCATATAGGATATTGGTGGGAAATCTAGAAGGAAAGAGACCACTGGGAAGACCAAGGTGTAGGTGGATGGGCAATATTAAAATGGGTCTTAGAGAGATAGGATGATATGGTATGGATTGGCTTGATCTGGCTCAGGATAGGGACCAGTGGAGGGCTCTTGTGAACACGGTAATAAACCTTCGGGTTCCATAAAATGCTGGGAAATTCTTGAGTAGCTGCAGAATTGGCGGCTCCTCCAGAAGGGCTCAACTCCATGAGTAAGTAATATGTTCAGCAGCATAGGTAGCATAATATTACGTAAATTTTGTATAAACAATTTCTCATCGACCTTATTTCGTAGATCCTGTTTCTCCGATGTTTCGGTTCAAGGCATAGACGTCTGTTTGTTTAACTATTAAACGTAACTCACTGCTTAGAGAATCTTTTTTCCATATAACCTGTCCATACACTGAACAACCACAAGAACGTGGACTAGCTTCATGCGGCTTTGAACCCATGATTGCGAAATTTGGGTTGAATTTCAATGTATTCAACATATTCAGGTTTTTCTGCGAGATATTGTATATAAATTTATAATGGACACTCATATAACAAGGAATCAAATATGATGGGCATGGATAATATGTAATTTGAAGTGGATGAAAATATTTTTAAACTCCTCAGGGCCTTCTCCCTGAAAAATAAAGAAGCGCCTTAAGCATCGTGAACTTAGGCAAGTCACTAACTGGCTAAATTCATGGGGCTATGTCCTTCGTCGGAAGCCACCAGTAACTTAGCTACTCAAGAACTTTCACATTTTGTGGAACATGCAGGTTCAGTACAGGAGCCCGCCACTGGTCTCTGTCCTAGCAAGACGAATCGAATCCATACGTCAATATTATTTATCCAAGATTCATTCTAATATTTTCCTATCATCTACGTCAAGATATTCCCAGTAGTTTTCCCAGCAAAAGCCTGTATAAATTCCATTTCGCTTTCATACGTTCTACATGTCCTACCTATCTCATCCTTCTAGACTTGATGATTCTAATTTTATTGGAAGAAGAGTACAAGTTATGAAGTTCATAATTATGCAACTTTCTCTGACCGTTTATTGCTTCATCTCCTTTCAATCCAAATATTCTTCTCAGCACCCTGTTGTCAGACACACTCGGTTTGTGTTCGTCCCATAATGTAAGATACCAAATTTCATGCCCATACAAACCGACATGCAAAATTACAGTTTTATATGCGAGCATATTAATTTTTACTTTCTTATATAGTAGATAAAAAGACGGAAAGTTTCTGAACTAAAGGGTAGTGAGCATTGCCCGAAATTAGTCTGCTTTTAATTTCCTAACGAATGAAATTTTGATTTGATACAGTCGTTCCCAAATATTTTAACTGTGCCACATATACTTACATGGTGTAGGTGAAGGGGATTGAGAAAATAGCCATTGTTACGTCAGACACGGCCAGGTTGATGAGAAAAGCCCTCAAATCTCCCGAAGACCTAAGGAAGAGAAAAGGGCTACTGAGTGTAAAAAGTAACTCACTGGACAGCAGTCTATATAACAGAAGGCGGTCTGTGTTTAGAATGTGTGTGTTTTCTGATTATGTGTACTGCATATGTTTTGTCGTATTCACGCCGAAATAGTTTTCCCGCACTTAGGGGGACAAAGGCATAAAATATGAAAAGGAAAACAGAAAATTAAGATACAAAATAATACCTTCGGAATTTAATTGGCTTTTCCACGCGTTTAGACTATTGCAGACTGTCAGTTTTATCACATTATTCTTATATGCATTTGACTATAAAATTCATGGCTTCTTTGTCATAGGGCCTATCGCATTTTGATGTGGGTTAGTTATGGTATAGTTAATTCTGTCAATAGTCTGCAGCCTTAACATTCTGTTTTTTTATATACAATAATAGTCATACGGAATTCTTGGCCTTGTGAACACGATAATTAAATTTTAGTTTCCATAAATGACATGAAACCTGTTGACCATTTGCAGCTTTCCCAAAGACTCGGAATAGCGACGGGCTACTAGCTGGACAACCGAGGGGTCAGAGTTCGAGTACCGGTAGGGTAAAAATTTTTACTTCATCATATCTCTGGGACCCACCCAACTTCCTATCCAATGGGCACCGAGGGTTCTTTCCCCGGGGTTAAAAAGCCCAAGGTGTGAAACTGACCCCTTACCTCCAACTATTGCCGAGGTCAAGAAAACGTGGATCTATACATCCACTTCCCCATATGCCTTCATGGCGCAGTGCTTAATTCGTTAAGCACAGGGACAACTTTACATTTCCTTACCTGTCTATGGAGTTTGTTACGTGACATTCGATAAAGCACGCAAGCCCTCAGACAGGTGCTGCAAAGTTGTATGCAAGTCTAGACTGTGAAGTTGTCCCTGTGCTCTACGCCTGTGTGGTCATAATTCCACGCAACACGTACGTAGATATTTCCTCGATGTTTTCGGCCCGTGTTAGGGAAGTATCCTGAATTGGCTAGCACCCTTTTCTCCCGCCCCATTCCATATTATTTATTCCCAAATTACCCAACCATAGCTTTCAGACTTGGCATAAACTCGCCCAACGATCCCGCGCCCTTAAAAATGTACTAACCCAAGGCTTAACCCCCCGGAACACTCAGTATTAATTTTGTTGCGAATTATAGACTCGGTGGAAAGCTCTGGTTCTCAACGTTTCAGGGCACTGCGTGGAACTAGACGGGCTGTCGGCATACACTGGGGCCACTCAACCGTAGAGAGCATGCAGTTGTGCTGCTTTTGTAGTTAAAGTTGTCATAACCCACTTTTCTCTGTCCTCCCATTTAAAGACAATTTTTAGAAATAGCCGGGTTAGAGCAGTCGGTATAGCGACTGGCTACGGGCTGGACGACCGAGAGGTCGGAGTTGGGGTCCCAGTGGGGTCAAGAAGTTTCTTCACGTAGTTCAGACCGGCTCTGGGGTCCACCCAACCTCATATCCAATGGGTACCGGGGATTCTTCCCCCGCGGTAAAGCGGCCTGGGCGTGAAGCTGACCACTCACCTCCAGCGAGTGCCGAGATCAAGAAAACGTGGATCTATATATCCACTTCCCCATACGCGTTCATGGCCTAATTCTTAATTAGTTAAGCACAGGAATAACTTTACATCTTATGACTTGGCGTCATATTGTGTGTGTGTGAAATTTATGTATTTTATTCGGTCACTACAATAGTTATGTATGATATATCCATACGTACCTATAGCTGTAAAGGAATAAAATAACGAATTTATTCAAACAATGAGTCATCATGGATTTTTAAATTTAAATTATATTATTTATTACGTCTCATAAAATACGGTATGAACTATGTAATACTACGGATCGTCTGGTAGACCGCCAAGGACCACAGTTTGAAAAATACTGGCATGGAAGCGTTTTACCACCTGAAGATATTCTTTGAGATGTGCTGTCGTTTCGGTTTTGAATGCACGTACTTTATTGGATGTGCTGTTTCTCCTGCTATTAGAAACCTGTCTCCCTGTGAACAAGATACCGGTTAACTAGAGATATTTGTTTTTATTGCTAGTGGGGTGGGACTAAGTTCATTGTACTGCGGCCACTTCTGGCCTATTTGTACCAGCCCCAGATGATAGGTGAGGGTGATTGTGGAGCAATTGGTGGAATGAAGATTGGCAGGGGAAACCGAAGTACTCGGAGAAAACCTGCCCCAGCGCCACTTTGTCCACCACAAATCCCTCCTGACCAGACCCGGGATCGAACCCGGGCCGCCACGGTAGGAAGCCAGCGACTAACCGCTTGAGCTATGGTGCGTAGAGATGGCTTGGTCGCTGGGCTAAGGTATACGTCGACAGCGTTGCAAATGAACCACTCAGATACGTTTTGCTACGTTTGAGTGTTAATAGTTGAAACCGACGAGACATGATGCGCAATTGAGTCTCTGATCTGAATCCGTGAGGCAGACGTCAGACTGCCGTTATTAATCTTGAAAAGTTGTGTCTTCTGCTAGAAGTCAGAAGCGCAGAAACGGGAGAGCTGGAAACTACATTAAAGTTGTAATAACTTGGTCAGGAATAGAACATGAAAGCCTACCACAAAATGACACCAGCGTTGCTTCAGCAGTCTATGACAGGGACAGAATTAATGGCATAGACAATTTCCGTACCAGTTCAATGAAAGCGAGTCTGAATCGTACTTACATTTACAGACTGCAAGAGGCACGTGTTTGTAACGGAAGTATTATACTGAACGTTTATATTTATGAAAAGGATATTCGAAATTACTTCCCGGAGGTTTAATTTTGAGCATAATACCTGGTTTTGATAACCTTCTCTCTCGAAGAAAAGTTTTCGTTCTATTTCGCCTCATAAAAGTTGGCAATGTATTTGTTTATGTGTAGTTTATTGAACTTAATCAGTGTCAAATATGTCAGTTGCTGTATGTTCAATGATTCGTATTACAGAGCAGTGTGAACGAGACTACAAACTTGATGGCGTGTTGAATAGACCAGAGGAATACGAGTATTTCTTAAGAGAATCTGTTTATATGTGAGGAAGCACTTGTTAGGAGTTGTTCATTGTATGTGTATGATGTTTCCCTTATCGTGATAGAAGCTCAGCTCTTTAAATTTTTAAATTTTATACAAACAAAACAAAATACGTGGCCTGTAGTCCGCAAGCGAACTATACCGACCGAGCGACTGCCGCTTGTCGGCGAAGTTAGTGCCAACGGATAGTGGGTGTCACGTGGTCAGCGCAATGGATCCCCAGGGCCGTTAATCTCGGTTTTCTTGACCGGAACCGCTATTTCCTTGAGACAATCTCCTCGATTATCCTCACGAGTCTGAGAGGAACCCGTTCCAGACCGACTACTTCTCAGAAAATCTTGTAGCGCTGGGAATCGAAGCCGGGAATTCTGGATCTGTAGCCAGGAACTCTGACCACTAGACCACAGAGGCGGCCCTAAAATTTTATACATGAATGTTGATATGCGATGTTTGTAAAAGATGTTGTGTTGTATATAAGACTCTTTCATGAAGAAGTTTTAATTGTATAAAAGCTATTTAAAATTATTTATAATAACGAAAAATAATTTTGAGCTAATTTATTTTGTATTATTATTATTAACGTAGACCTGAGAATTATATTGCAAATGGCCAAACATAACTGAACAATGAATTTAAAGAAATAAGAAAAAACTCATGCAGTAATTGACTGCACTGTGTGGATTACTGCATTGCACAGTTGAACATAAATATACTTCCATATTTTCCTAATCTAAAATTGGTACCGGGGGCTCTTTCCCCAGGGAGTAAAACGGCCGGGTCGTGAAATTGACCACTCACCTCCTACTAGTACGGAGGTCAAAAAAATATGGATCTATACATCCACTCTCACATACGCTTTCATGGCGTGGTGCTTAATTAGTTAAGCACATGGAATTTCCTAATTTTCCGAAACCATTATCACATTCATTATGCTCGTGATATTACGGGACGGTATCGTTTCCCCGTCTCTACCGTTGCCATTAATAAGGATGGAAATACAGCGGCCCAGGGTCCAAAGAACAATCCAGATATATGAGATACATAATTTAATTAAAATCATCTTACACACACAAACGTACCTGCAGATGGAGGTTACGCTCACATACGAGTACGTCTATAGGTAGGAGCTTCATTATCTTTGTGGAATGTGGAAATAATCTAAAATACGTTTTTAATTTAAAATGTGACAGTTATCTCCGAAATGGATCGCACATCAATACCTTCTCCCATGTATCTCATATTAAAAAAAAATGCATATATAATTTATTGGCGTATTGGAAAAGCGCTGCGGAAATGATAATAGGGGCCGTATCGAAAGGCAGCAAGATTTAGTGCGTATGTCATATTCGTCTTTGTGAGATAAGCGAATATTAATATGTCATTTGCATGAGAAATAAAATGTCTGTATTAAAGAGAATATTCAGTGTTTCTAGTTAGCAGCAGTTTCTATGCTACGAAATGAAGTGAAAAATAAACAATCTGCCAAATTCCGGATATATAATCACGACGACGATAGAAAATATCTTTTCAATTTCAGAGTCTATTAAAATCTTCCTTGTAACTTCACTTTTCAGTAACGCTTTAAAGGAAAAGTTGTACAATGTTTAATGTAAAGCCGTTCGGAGGAATGGGATAACAGATTCGGAGGTGTACGCAAAGAAGCGACAAATATTGAAACGTAGCTCGTATTTAACAAATCGCTTGCGTGCATCAATATATACCGGTTATTAAGAATTCTGTCTTTTGTGCTGTACCGGTATGAAGTCCGTTGAAAGTCAACAGGCGTTTCGGAGGGACATGTCCCACTTCTCGCTACCTCTTCCACTCTAGATTCTTCTTCGATCCTGAAGATGGAGCCGACATGTTCCTCCGAAATGTATGTTGACTTTCAACGGACTACATGGCGTTATATCATAGAGAAGAGAATTCTTGGGCCGCGCCATAGCTCAAGCGGTTAGTCGCTGGCTTCCCACTGCGGCGGCCCGGGTTCGATCCCGGGTCTGGTCAAGTGGGATTTGTGGTGGACAAAGTGGCGCTGGGGCGGGTTTTCTACGAGTACTTCGGTTCCCCCTGCTAATCTTCATTCCACCAAATTTCCATCATCTTAATCAGCCGGGGCAGGCTACAATAGGCCAATCAGTGACCGCCGTGCCGAGTGGACCCAGTTGGACTCCACACCCCACTAAGCGAATTAAAAAAAAATAGAACTCATCATAACCACCGCTGTGAGAACCTCAAATCCAACCAGTTCTAATTATAATTCTTGCGGAAATAACGTTATTTAGATAGGCTTATAGTTCGTCTTCAAGAATTTTCTAAATTCTTTTACACTATATATTAGATATTCTAGCACCAAGTTTGGGATTATTTACCTTAAAGAAAAATTAAATTGATTTTTAAGGGAAAATTAATGAAACTCTACCTTACTCTCGCTAATTGAATAATAGCAAAACAAACACATAGGAACTTCGTACGTATTTAAATAACCCAAGAATGAATATTCTATCAGCAAAAGAAAAAAAAACAGATCCAATTTCCACTTTTTGAACCTCATGCATTTCAGGTCATGCAGCACATTGAAAATTTAATGTTTACAACAAATGACATCCCTGGTTTGTCGTACCCTTACTTCAGGTTTCGAAATATTTCTGGCTTACTTTTGGCTCCAATTTACTAAACAGGAACAGTCGTTTAACCATTGATCTGATATTACTTCCCTAGTAACGTTGTGCTCGTAAATGTACGTAAAGCAGGAGATTATTGTGGAAACTTAAGATAGCGAATCCACGAACGTCAAGATGTATGTCAAGCAAATGAAAATCAGTAGAAATCAGTGCAGTGTCCTCTTGTCTGCTTGTACTAGTTCGACTGATATTATATATTTACCTGAAGACTTGTAACAGCTGTTTCTGAGTAGAAATTTTGAGCTTTATTATAGATGGGTTCAGGGACTAACGTTTCGGTGATATTTAATTTTCCAAATTTAATAGCTGCATAAAGCACATCCTTATTAATTTTATTTATTATCTTAATGATAAAGAATGATTCGATCGAGAGCTCTGAAGGAAAAGAAGCATGTCTTTGGACTGAGGAAAACTGTGTATTTCAGAAAAATTCATAGAAACACACACACACACACCATACACACACATTTTTTTTAAGTGATCAGCAATCAGAATACAGTGCATTCTATAAGCTAATGTGTTGATCCGTGCTCGGTATCCGAGACACAGCTGAGCTGTGTTGAGGTTAACTCCCAGCGATGTTACCTCAGAGTTTTCATTATCTGTTGGCCACTGTCTCTTAAGTCTCCTGTTGACTGGTTGTAGTATTTGGCTGAGTAGTGGATTTGGGTGATCTTCTATGTTTTGTAGGTGCTTCGCAGTTTTTGTTTTGATGACTTCTTGGATTGTAGGAATGCGGAGGTCATTGTGAAGTGTGTAATTGGTTATGTACCATGGGGCGTTCACTATTTGTCGGACACACACACACACACATATATATATATATGTATATATTTGTGGGGGATAATATTAAGTTGGATCTTAGAGAGAGAGGATGGGATGGAATATACTGGATTGATCTGGCTCAGGACAGGGACCATTGGAGGGCTCTTGTGAACATGGTAATGAGCCTTGGAGTTCCATATGTTGAGAAATTCTTGAGCACCTCAGTGACTGGCCGCTTTAAGAAGAGTTCAACTCCATGGATTCCGATATTTAGTTCTTTATTTTTCTTCATGATTTAGGAGCCGTGTTTCATTCATATTCTGATACGATAACCAGTACAGGGTCCATTTTCTCTCTGTCACACACAAACGACCTTTATAACTATGTCCCTCCAGAGACCGTCGCGATAGATTGTGAAATTTGTGGCGAGTTTCTTCACTAATGAATGGATATTCACGGAAAACTAAGGTAAAAGTGGACATAAGCCATTGAAATCCCAACTGCGAAAACATGATATTATTTATAAACTTATAATGATGTTGATATGCAACCAAGAGCAAAACATTTTGAAGATTCTTATCGGCTGATGGGCCGTATTTAGTGTAGCTGTAGTATAAGCTTTCTCTCAGTCGTATTTGTGAAATTTGCTGACCACATAAAACGTAAATATCAACACAGTGTCAGAAGTCAGATCGGATTCTTATGTTATTTTCTTTGCTAAAATATATATAGAACGAGATAATTATGGGGAAATTGTGTCCAACTGTCTGTCCGCATCTTTTCGGACCTCTTCAATAGATTTAAATTAAATTAAATACTGGATGTCTGTTCAAATGGTCCAAAAGTTATATCTCCTTGAATGTAATGCCGTATAGTCCGTTGAAAGTTAACAGATATTTTGGAAGAATATATCGCCTCAATATTCAGAGTCGAAGAATAAATAAAGTAAGTTGTGGTCCTCCGAAACGTCGTTTGGCTTGTAAAGGTCTAAACAGAGTTGCATCCCAGAAGATACAACAATTCATAAACACCGTTGCGAGAACCTCAGATTCAACATGTTTAAATATTTGTTAGGAAAAATTTTGTCCTTATCTATCTACAAATTTTGAGTTCTAAAGGTGATGTTTCTCTGGGACCAACAACCTAGGGACATTACGCATAAGTAAGCACCAAGAGTGACAAATTTGTGAAACCGCTAGGAAAGCATTTTGAAAATGCCTTTGCTCCAGCTGTATCTGAGGTTCTTATGGCGGTGACTATGAACATCGGCGCTGCCTTGTGGGATATGACGCCGTGTAGATTTGTAGGTAGGTGTCAACATTTTGGCGAAACCTGTTGAATATAGCCCCAACTTATTTTTAAAGAATGACCATTGTTAGCGTCCATTTGTCTATATCCGTCTAAATTGCAACACTTGTTTTACACTTCAATATATTCTTTAACACTTAACACTACATGTTTCGGCCTCATAGGGCCATCTACAGGTGTTTTATTACAGATATTCAATCAAGACCTTGTTAAAACTGCTACACTGTTTCGCTGTTCCAATTCATTTTATAAACCACACGCTGCAGTCCTCCTTCAATTAAAACGAGATAAAATTCTTTTATAATTTGTTGTTTCACTTCACTCAGAGTGTCGTCACTTCCGTAAAATATATTAACCTTTTAAAGCCTAAAGGTTACTATATGCACGACCTGGTTTAACATACTAGAATTCTGCATTCTGCCCACACAGTGTGTTTGTGTGTTTCATATGGTTCTCACAATAAGCATCGGATGTTTTCCTAAACAGCATTAACCGGTTGGTCCTTGTAGCGGAGACACAATGTGTTTCCTGTGAGGTACGAACTGAATTTTTATATTTAGTTTGGAAAAAATTCGGTCTTTAAAGGTTTCCTCACGTCAGTTATTTGCGCCTTGCTTTCGTTTCCTCCTCTACGTGTGGTGTTGAGGCCAGTTGAGGCCGAAACATGTAGTGTTAAGTGTTAAAGAATATGTTGAAGTGTAAAACAAGTGTTGCAATTTAGACGGATATAGACAAATGGACGCTAATGTGAACAATTGCAACGGGATGCTGAAATACAGAATGATCATTGTGTTTATTTTCCAACTATTTTAAATCATTTAACAGCTATTAGATATGGGATAATGTAAGGACATAAATTATCCTCTAGTTTTACAAATTAGGTCCTCCGGCCTGTTCCAGTGAGAATTAAGTCTGAAGCTGTGACTTCCTTTTAGAGAGTTAGCAGGACAACTTTGACGGGAGATCTGGGTTCTATCCATCCAGGACAACACAGACACAGACAAAACTCTGACATATTTCTATGCCCCGAGTGGAATTCGAAGTCTGAATCCCAGCGTTTCAGTGGTCAAAGACAAGAGGGCCCTCGTGTTCACTGTGATCTGTGTAAAATATTAGTAGATGTTGTATATTAATAACGTAATATATCAGATTGATACTCAAATCATATTTTCCATGCAATAAGATTTCTGAAAGAAAATTTACAATTTTCAATACACAACCTCTGTGGTCTAGTGGTCAGAGTTCTTGGCTACAGACCCAAAGGTCCCGAGTTCGATTCCCGACGCTACCAAATTTTCTGAGAAGTAGTAGGTCTGGAACGGTGTCCGCTCAGCCTCGTGAGGATAACTGAGGAGCTATTTTGAGGAAATAGCGGCACCGGTCTAGAAAACTGAGATTAACGGCCGTGGAGATCCGTTGCGCTGACCACGTCACACCCTCTATCCGCAAAAGTTGGTACTAACTTCGCCGATAAGCGGCGGTCGTTCGGTCAGTATAGTTAGCTTTCGGACTACAGGGCACAGAGTTTTATATATATATATATTTCCATTCCATTTCAACATTAGAGAACTAAAATCCAGAACTCTATAATGATTCCATAATTTAATCTTTAAATTAATAATAATAATAATAATAATAATAATAATAATAATCCAAATCATTCGGGATTCCTTTGTAATTCTCGGTAAGCAACTGACCTTTTCCCGAAGGAGAGCACCACTATGACGGTGACATTTCCGGCGACGCTAAGTGCTGCTGTCAGGGAGTATATCCAGACGAGAGCCGTCTTAACAGGCGGCTCCACCATATCCAGGCTGGGGTAGTCAATCAGATCTGACAGGTCGTTCTCGTTTAAACGTAGCCTGATGAAAGAGCTCAGGTTCGCCCAGTCGTTTGAGTTCTGAAGCCTTAAAATATCCGTCAGTTCCTGCGCCATGTCACTGCCTGAAACAGACATTACACCTACATTGAGACGCGTTAATTACTATGTCTTAACAGTATTCCCTCAGCACCAAACAACTTTGAGTAAGGACTAATATTATGCCTCATGGATTGGGTGAACATACGTAAATCACTGGCCCATTATTCATCCATTTCACTCTGTCTGTGCAAAGAAAACGCAAAAAAATGTAATCATCTACGTCACTCAGTGACACAGATTCGCCACTCACTGTCACCATTATCTTGCAGTCACATGTCACTGTCAACATATCTGTCGATATTAGAAGTCCAATGCCATAAATCGTCCCTTTATACTTTCCACCCATAAGCTGTCACAATGATAAATTTCACTTTTCGCCAAATATAATTAGAATGGAAAAATCAAGGCGGTTGCGATGAGCTTGGCATGTAGAACGTAGAGGGATATAGGAATGCATACAGGGTTCTGGTAGGAAAGAAAGCAGGAAAGAGACCACTGGGACGACCTGGACCTACGAGGTAGGATAATGTTAAAATGGATCTTGGAGAGATAGTATGGGGTGGTATGGACTGGATTAATCTGGCTCAGGATAGGGACCAGTGGTGGCCTGTTGTGAACATGGCAATGAACCTTCGGGTTCCATAAAATGTTGATAAATTCTTGAGTAGATGAACGACTGTTGATTTCTCACGAAGGACTTGGCTCAATGGAGTTCGGCTGTCACAATGTTTTAACTGGACGGACTAGCAGGATACTGGGTTATATAACGTTGGTACATGTGTAGGTTTACTCTTATTGTGTTGTGTGTGATGTACTGGCGTGTTGTGTCGGGACAGTTAACCCCGCTCTCATTTCAGCATGATCCGAGAACAAGCCCACTGAAGTGGATGTTGCTTGATGAAGCGTTTTCCCTACGACAGGTTCCGTTGTGAGTTTCACGAGGGCTGGAAACTCTATGAAGTATGAATGAATGTGAGCAGAGGAGGCGCTATTTCAAACATAATATCGCAGTGTGAAACTAGAAAAACTCTAATGGAACAATAGGACTCAGAGTCGTAGTCTGCAAGCGAAAATAAGTCATTTGCAGAACTAATGTTTCATAAGCTCAAGATCCCCTGAGGGCTGAACTAGAGTAAGGGAAATGTCAGCTTGAAAATTTGTTGGAAATAATCATATCTGATATAATTTCTGTTCCTGATAGTTCTAAAACCATTTTATTGTTACTGAATGGAAATAAATGCAATGAAAATCATAATTAAAATGACAGTATTTTTATTAATGCTATTTTAATCATCAACATCATCATCGTGACAGTCATTATCATTGTTTTAACAAATTAATCGGTCATTATGAATTTGTTTTCCAGAGAAGATTGCTTTATGTCGTACATTTCAATTATTGAAAAGAAATGAACTTCCTTATGCAGAGATATAACGTTAAAAATGCATATTCGTGGTTATCGCATGGACTGTTCCAGGAACTCGGAGAAATAAATGCATTTTCATGGTTATCGCATGGACTGTTCCAGGAACTCAGAGAAATAAAAAACGTGAACACATATAGTGCCCATTGAAAAAGCATTAGTGATAATGCAAACACCTTTACAGCTTACAAGTTTTTCAAGTGTTTTATTAGCAATAGTAATAATTCATATCGACTATGTACTTATTTACGTGCTTATGAAGAGTTCAAAGTCCAACTATAGAGTAAGGACGAACAAAGAGACAAACAAAACAAACACATAGAGACCGCACACAAAAGAAGACAAAACAAGTCAACGTGTATTGTTCAGACAGTAACCATTCAACTAGTCCAGTCACGCCAACCATGATGCGATGGCAAGATATACGTATGCTTTAAATAATCCTTAGCATAATTAACATTACAAAAATGAATTAAAAAGTAAAAACTTAGAAAATATTATTAAGATAAAGAGTTCATGTTCAGAGTATGTCAACGTCCCTGAGAAACATTAGCAGCTGAAGCGCACCTAACAAAAGAACAGTTTTTGCTAGAAAAGCAGAATGTGAACAAAAGAGGGTTATCAAGACTGAACAATAATTTCATATTATTCTCCATTGGCTCTTCACCTCAATTCCTCATTTTCTGTCGTTTTTACCCTAGAGCTTAAAAAGGTAGCACATCATTGCTAACAATTACAAAAGAGAATTCATGCTGGGTTAGTGTGTAATATAATATCATTTATTAAACTGTTATCCATCTTTACAATATTTAATGACATTATCTTGCAATAAATCACTCCCTCTCACTCACTTATTGAACTGAGTCCTTCTTGAGAAGCTGCCAATTGTACAGCTACTCATGAACTTCACAGCATTTTATGGAACCCGAAAGTTCATTATCGTGTTCACAAGAGCCCTCCACTGGTCCCTATTCTGAGCCAGAGCAATTCAATGCATACCATCCCGTCCTATCTCTCTAAGATCCATTTTAATTTTGTCCACCCACCTATATCGTGGTCTTCCCAGTGGTCTCTTTCCTTCTGATTTCCCCACCAGTATCCTACATGCATTTCGCCTCTACCCCATTCGTGCTACACTCTTGCCCATCTCATCCTCCTTGACTTGATCATTCTAATTATACTTGGCGAAGAGTACAAGTCATGAAGCTCTTCATTATGCAGTATCTTTCAATAAATAGTTTCCTATATAAGAAAACTCATCGCATTCAACCTCAAATTCCATTAATTTAAGTGTTTTTTTGCGACACAAATGTGTAGAAGGAAGGGGACGTCAGGCTGCCTTCTCGCAAGAAGGGAAGGTACATTTCAACATTCTGAAGTGCTCAGAGGCATTTCGAGATACGTACACAGCATTCAGTTCCTCAGTCCTTCTTTATTCAAATTGTACTTGCGTTTGTTCAAACAGGATCCTCTCTATTCAACGTAACCACACACACGCACGTGATTTGAAGTTTCACTATTGACCGTGCGCTTTGACTTTAGGTTTATTGTATGGCGCAATCAGCCATGATGGGGATGGATCCAGTATCAAAAGTTTCTGTTACTGTCTCTGACTCCATTGTCAAACACCCAGCGCACATTGCATATTGAACACCCAGCTGGTTCACTCCGCATTCTTCGCAACCGATTTGCATTCAATGGGCCACGTGCCGAAACGTCAGATTACATAACGTTGCATCCCATGTTTTCACATTCGCTTTCAGTGTCAAGCACATTTGAGGAGAAAAAAATATATAGCCATTGTACGACGCAACGCATCCGCCACCAGACAGTTTTGTGCTAGCTTAAGGATGAGCAAAATAAGGCACGCAGTCCGCTTCCGGCCCAGGAAGGATTCATATTTTTTTAAATATTGTAACGAATATGACAACTGCTAGACAACGGTTCGGCAAAACCGTTCCCGCGGCAAAGAACACACACGGAATAGTCCATTGCTAGAGAACGGCTCGCTAAAAGTATCAGTCCCTATTCTGAGCCAGATAAGACTAGTCGACACCACCCCAAACTCTCTCGCTACGATCGATTTTAATATATTCTTCCCACATACGTCTAGGTCTTCCTTGTGGTTTCTTTCCTTCTCACCTTCCTTAACTCGATCATTCTAATTATATTTGGCTAAGGGTACAAATTATGAATTATATAATTATATAAGAATGACATGAGGAGGGGGGAAACCTCAACGCATGTAGCATAAGAAAATTAACATTTTTTGCGTGTCCGGGAAACCAAAATTAATTCTGAATGCTGAGGTTGTGAAAGTATTAATCGGTGTGCAAGTGGAAACAGATACAAAATACGGCTATGTGAAATAACGGATGAAGCTAGTTCGTCCATCTCTACCATACTTGTGTTTAGACTACCTGCCTTACTGCGGCGCAGGAGAAGTTGCCGCACAAGCTCGGCGCTAGAAGGCCTACCTAACGCAGAGACGCACGTTAAGCTTTTGTCAAATTCAGATGTTATCAGAAAGTAAATTATATAGCTGCAGGTCACGATAGCCGAGCGGTCTAAGGCATGCACTGTCTTCGCTCGCTCGGAAGCCGGGATCGTGGGTTCCAATCCCACTCAGGGCATGGATGTTTGTGTGCGTTTTTCAGTGTTTGTCTACAGGTAGAGAGGCCTTGCGACGAGCTGATCTCGCCCAAGGCGTCCTACCGAATGTTTAAGATCTAGTAAACCGAAGTGAAACGGAGAGTTTCATGGAGGTAGGCCTAGGCCCAAATTGGGGCTGTAGCGCCACAGAAAAAGAAAGTATATAGCTACATCACCAGAGCCACCGTCTTCACGTACGTAGGCGATTTATTCAATCTTCATCAGTATTGCAGATTTAAGGTTCTCACAATGGTGGTGTTTTGTAATGCTGCCTGTATGACGCTCGATTTTGCTTGGATTACTATTCGACCACGAAAATTGAGTCGACATTTTCCTTCCAAATGTAGGTTGACTTTCAACGGAGTACATGGCGTTATATTCCAGAAGATAAGACTTGTTAGAGCCACTTATTTCTCAGATTAACATTGATGTCCGTTCATCTGTTTTGATGATATTTAATGAGGTTGTATAAACTAATTAACGAACTCTGTAGTTCAGAAACCTTCCCGCAAACCTAATAGTCACTCAGCAAGTCAAGAAATTTCCATCCCTATATGGAAACCCGAAGCCCATTATCGTGTTCAAAGAGCCCACCACCTGACCCTATCCTGTGGCAATCGAATCCAGTCCGCATCCTCCCACCTTATTTCTCGAAGACACTTTATAATATTGGCCTTCCATTTATTCCTTCATCTTCCAGGAGTTTTTTTCTTCAGATTTCAGAGGATGATTTAAATGTTCTTCTAGCTCTATACGTTGCGTGGTGCCTAAGGAACGGCTTTATTTTCTGCCGTAAAGGCACACTTCGTCAGCTTTCTTCGTAAGTTTATGGCAGCTTTGTACATTCTATAGAACGTCAGGAAAAAATTAAGTATCTATGTACATAAAGAAACATATATATTGAATCAATGTACAAAGTATTAAATAGGTATAAATTATTTCCTTAAA